ATATCCATCGATGTACGGAACCACAGGTAGCAGAAGCCCATCTGTGCTAAACTTTTCGCGCACCTCTTTGACTTCCTTGCCGACTGTGTCGAAGACATCTCTCGCTTCCCGCAGTAGGTCTACCTCGAAAACATAAGGGAGCAGAGTAGCCAGGCATGCCGCAACATCGCGATGCTCGTGGTTGTCGCGGCCAAAGTGAGGACAACCCACAACAATGCGATCAAGGCCAAAGTAGATAGCGAGTGTTGCCGCCCACAAAGTCAACGACAGCACATAAGGACGACCTGCACCCCTTGCATCGAGTTTTATTGCCTTCGCTGGAGCTGCAATGAATGGCAGGCTCTGTTCGAAGGGCACACGGCACGACTAAATCTGACCCGGTCGCACTGAAGATGCTTCCCAGTTGAACTTCGACCCACTGCAGCGATCCCCTGGGTTGGGTCAGAAACTTTCTATGCGTCGTTGGAACGGCAGAACATCACAGTGCTTTTGACCACATTCACCCGTGCCCAACTGAAAGCACTAGTGGGAACATGACAAGGCTGTGGCTCTGATGAGGGTAGTTTGCGTGCAAGCTTCCATCTGCCCATCCTTAGCTTGGGCGCGTAGATAAACAGTAACGACCATTGCAAGTGCCCACTGCAAAGCTCCCAAAAGTAAGCCACCGGCCAAAACGACAATGCCAACCGTCCTGCTGAACTGCTAGCAGCATCTAGCTGCTGTCGGATGATGCTCCGGTACGAGCAGCTGATGGCTGGCATTGTCGGCAAAGTCAGCGCCAGGACTTCCTCGAAAAGAATGGCGAAAGCTTTCGCGTCGCAAATGCAATGGTGCACCTCGTCAACTGTGAATTGTAGCCCGTGGCTGAAACCCAACTAGACGTGCGCTACACCTGTGTTAACTGTGCTGTGCATCCACGAGCCTAACATACTGGATTGCACATGTCCTGCGTCCTGCCTGCATGACGAGCACGATGTGCCCGAGTTCTTCGAGAAGAAGAATTCTCCACGGGGGGTGGGACCTGAGGTCCCAAATCCCCGTGCGGAAGCACTCCACCATCTTTCGCGCTGCATCCTTTGACTTGGCCGTTTTGACAGTCAGTGGTAGTGTGGAGAGCTCGCCTCCGACTACCTGCTCGTCACCAAAAAATCGGCAGCAGAGGGCTGCGTGTCTTTCCGCAACACGGCGCATCGACCGCCGAAGTGCCCAATCAAATTTATCGATGCCCCGACACTGCTGAGACCCGGGGAGCTGGACCAGAAACGGAACCGAAAAGCGCTCTGTTCGCGACATCGTGAGATCTCTTCCCTGATTTGCCAAGGCAAGGAAGTATTTTTGCGAGAGCGTGCATGGAAGTGTGTGTTGGCGCCATAAAATGCCAACATGGACGCGCCGGCGACGGGCCGGGATCGAGCGCCATTTGCGGAGTCGCAACCAATCGTGCATTGGCTGCATTGGTATCTCTGCAATCAGAGACGCAGCAAGAGACCTTTGCGAACTCGTTCCCTGGAAGAGAGCACCTTGACGAGCGACGGTTTCACCGCAACTCCGCACAGACATGGTGGTGCCTGAATGCCTGGCACGACGCAAAGCGAACATCGAAACCAACTTGCCGGGTGTGAATGCATTGCTGCCGGGCCATGAGAACTGCCTGATACTCTGGCTTGCCGTAGCGACGACAGCCGAGGCCTTAATGACCCCTGCACCGGCCTCCAAGCGTCGAGGCACACCTAGCTCTGGCTGAGTCCCTCCAAGGCGCAGTGCGGCAGAATCTATCTGGCACGCACAATTGAGGCGAGGCAGCAGTAGTAACGCCATTTTTAACGGCGTCAGGCGACTGCCTAGAACCAGCTCGAAACATGAGGATCGAGCATTGGGCAGCGGTAGGTGGATTGCTGCCTTGAGCGACTGCGCCGAACTTGCAAAATTCCACAGCTTCTGGGCTCTGCCCTTGCCACAGGTCCGACATCTGCTCGGTGCCCCTTCCACTGGCGCGAGAACTGGATTTCGAGCCCCTGCCGGCCGCCTGCGGTACTGAAAGACGTGAAACTCTCGCATCTTCGGCGTCGGAGTCGGATCACGAATCCACAGGCTCATGATGTGGCCCCTCTTGAACTGGCTGCTCTTTGAAGCACATGCTGGCCTCCACAAGAGAACCCTGAAAGCTCGCTCTGTCTCCCTTGTCCGCCAAAGCTCAACACAGCAGGCATCTCTAGAATCTTTGCCAAAGGTAGCGAGGCCAAACAAAGGCTTGAAGAGATGTACATCGACAGTCAGCTTTTCATATCTGTCCAGCCCACAGCAAGACATGAAAGCACAGGGCAGCAAGCATATGCTCAACCCTGCAGCAGCAGGCGCAGGCCTTGCAATGCTTTCGGGGAATTGAAAGTCGATCTGCAAACATAGATGCTGTGGCACTTGCAACGCATTGGTGACGTACTCTTTCATACACCTGGGCACAATGCTTGCCACGCCATCTGCAGCAAGTCGAAGTGCCTAACGTCCATTCTCAAAACACACTGCTGAAGAGCACAACTTCAAAAGCAGAATGCACTAAGTGCTGGCAAGCAGCGATCCACAAGTGACAGCCAAAGACTGGCAGGCCACACAAGGCTGCGAAGCTTTGTGTCGCCCGCATATCATAGACACGATCAACAACGAGTTCAGCAAATGCTGAGCAACAGTATGCTTCAACTGGTGATTGCAAGAGCGTTTGCTGACCTGCAGTCATGGGGAGGGTGAGAACGAGCATCTGCAGCGGAGCACGGGCCCCGGCACGCTGTGCACGTGGAAGTTCGAGCAGTCTGTGCACACGACCCCTCACGGTCCTCACGACCGTCCTGGTAGTACCAGGCTGCACCAAACGGAGGAAGATACGATGCCAGTCACAGGGGTGAAGGCTTCGGGTTGGAAACATGTTCAGCGCAACGAAGAATCGTCTCAAGCCCATGCCGCCTGGATGTAGCGTAGCTTGCTTCCCACGAACGGACCATGTTGAGTCTTTCCTGGGGCGGAGTTTTGACATTTTCCTGCGGGCACGATGCCAAGGCAGAGGTGCAGCAAGCCTTTGGGCCGCTTGCTGAAAACAAGCACCTGTAGCCACTGTAGCCTTTCGCCGCGTGCTACTCAGTTCTGCCCGAAGATCAGCCACAGCAAACACACTGAATGTGTCGCAGGCGTCTGGCCTGGTGACAGGAATGCCATCGCCGTGGCGCAGCTGGCTAAGTAGGCCAAGTAGGCTGTTCTTTAACCATGTAGTATGGTTCGCCTGAACCAAGGCAAGAGGACAGGCCAAAGGCCTGGCCCTAAATACTGGCGCGTTTCCGACAAGTAGCCGATGCGAGCGGCAACACTCACCAACTCTCATTGCTCCTACCGTTAATTTAAGACCCCGTGGGCCCGACGTGTGTACCACAGTGTTTGGGGAACAAAGTCCATCAAGGGTGCTGCCTTTGATGAGCAGATGGAGCTTCGGTCTGCAAATGCAGCAAGTGCTGGACATAGGTCGGGCCTGACCTATTGCAAAACCGGAGTATTTCCCAAGGTCTTCCGATGGCACGAGTCCAAGATTGGACAGCTCATTCTCTCGATCAGGTGCTGAATGCCGGATCGCAGCAAGGATGCCAAACGACACGTTGCACAGTAATACATGAGTTTTTCCCCCTGAAGCTGTTGCGCAAGTCGATGCCTCGTCCATAGCTTGCAGGTTCTTGCTGCCTCAAAATCAGTTCCCCCGTCACGAAGCCCTACCCGACAAAACGACGGATGCATCCAGCCAAGCAACACGGCGCCAGTTTACGCGCAAGGATCTCGCCGGTCAGAGTCAAATGTAGAGCCATGTGTGGATACATTCTGTCTACTGCCACTCGGAGTTCTGGATTTAGAACCTTACATTCGTGAGCTGCTGTCCAAAGTAGGTTTCGTGTCAATGCATTGCTCAGTGTAAGGCAATATCATGTCAATGTGAAACTATGAAATTGTGACATTGATGAGACACCTTGAGGCCTACGACACCATGGCACGTGAAACAATCGCAGAAGCAGATCTCACCGGATACTCAGTGACCAACTCCGGGCGGAAATGGGTCAACTAGGCACAGGACACCCTCAGCCTCTGGATATCTGAATCAAAGGAGACAACAACAGGATCTTGGAAGATGAGACATTACACTTTGACCCGTAGTATACTCGTAGCCTGTAGCCCCCCGTGTGGCCCTAGGCGCTTTTGACCGCCTTTGTCCAGCCAGCTTTCCGGTACGGTCTAGGGGGCATGTTAATGTGTCTGTAGGATTGAGTGTGCTACTGCATAACCAACCTACTATCAAAAGGGACTTTATTGAAAGCCCTCCGCAGAAGGTTTCCCGGCTTGTGGCTAGCCACCAAAGGACCGACACGAAAGTTCTCCTAACTGTTCTCAACGCTCAGCGCAGTGCGAACTGCAGACGCTCTATTTTTCCGCAGAGGTTGCTCGAGAGTGCAGTGCAGCGCGAGGCATTGCTCGCAAAGGGAAAGCGGCAAGCGATGCCGAGCAGACCCCCAAGGGCGTGGAGGGTGGGTGAAAAATTTCTTACGCATGCGATGCGAGAAAAGCGAACACTAGTTGTGAGTGCTTGTGCCGAAACAGTGCGGAGCGTTTAAAGGTTTCGACACAGAACAGAAAACACAGTTGAATCAAAAACACAAACTCACAACTAGCGTTCTCCTAACTGTTCTCAACGCTCAGCGCAGTGCGAACTGCAGACGCTCTATTTTTCCGCAGAGGTTGCTCGAGAGTGCAGTGCAGCGCGAGGCATTGCTCGCAAAGGGAAAGCGGCAAGCGATGCCGAGCAGACCCCCACTTTAGGTGCACTTCGACAACCTCTGCTACAAAAGCCCCTCACCGCGCGAGTTGGTGAATGTACCTGGCGAGGCAGGGCGTGAGACATGCAGAGCGTGGAAAGCAAGGCTGTGCTCACCGGAAGAGAGAGAGAGAGAGGCGTCACTGCACTCTTTTTTTAAACATCATTTAAGCATTGCGTGCTGTGCGTCAAGTAGCCGTTGCGGCCACGCGAGTGCGTGATCATGTAATGTGACGCAATGCGATGCGGATGCTAGTTGCGCTAGCGTGACTTCTACTTTGTCAGCAGTGCGATGCTGAAGAAAGGCAGTGGAGCCCCTGCTGAGCTTGTCGGCCCAAACGTTCTTTTCGCCGGCGAGGTGCTCCACCTCAAACTGCACGCGGTGCAGATGCGCCCAGGCGGCCGCCAGGCGAAGAAAAGTTCCTAGAGGCTCTGCCGTGCTGAAGAGCTTATTAAGGCCAGACTCTGCGCTGGTATTGTCGGATGCTGTGGGCAGAACAAAGCGGATCTGTTTGCTGCGTAGCAGTTGCCAAGAGCACTGTGCCAGTGCCAGCTGTGCGAGAGATTCAAAACAGCCAATGTAAGGCTGCAGGCTGCCTTGCAGTTGCGGCCATTGCTTGCGCACTTCCTCTGCAGAAAAGATGGCGCTGAACCACAGGAAGGCGTCGGCAGTGCTGATCCAGCCTCCAATGCCCATGCGGTGCGTATCTGCGAATGCATCCGCCGCACTGTAGCAGTGCATGCGTGGTGCTGTGCGCAGCGAGCGAGGCTGCTCATGTGCAAAACAATGCTGCAGCCATGCCAGGACGAATTTGCTTTCGTGCCGAAGGTGAACTTCAGAGCGGTGCGGGTCTGCAAGCCTGAGCCATTGGTGTTTGTGCGAGGGCGGCACAAGAGGCACATCTGCTTTGCTTGCTATTTTGAGGCTGCCGACCTCAAGTAGTTGGGCATTGCGTGGCAGCCAAGAGCCTGCTGGCGTGCGGGTGAGTTTTGCGTTGTTGTCAAGGCAATCTAGGAAGGTGCCCCACATGTTCGGTGAAATGCTGTGCAGCGTGCCTTTGCAGCTGTGTAGGTCTTTGTAGAGCGGTGCCATGAAGGGGCGCATATGTTTACTTAGGGAGGTGGCCCAATTAAGTAGGCCTAGTACACCTTCCAGCTCCTTGCGTTGCACTTTGCTTTTGCGTTGCAGTGCAATTAGCTGCTCGCGGAGCTTGTGCAATTTTAGTTCGCGGAGCTCAATGGTCTCTGCGTCCGTGCGAATGGTCCACCCGCACCAGGTGACTTCCTGTGCAAACTGAGCCTTCTTCCAGCTGATGGGTGCGTTCAGGGCTGAAAGCAGTGCAACTATCAGTGCGGTGGCCATGTCTTTGTCGGCTGTGCGGAGCAGGGCCAGGAGGTCGTCGACATAAAGCCAGGCTCTATGCGGATAGTCACACAGCAGCGCATGTATGCAGCGCAGTAGAAGGCTACCTGTGCGTTGCCACCAATATGCCGAGAAGCGTGCCCCGAAGTGGCAAACCTTGTAGTAGTACAGGGAATTGCCAACTCGGAACAGCAAGGTGCCTTGGTCTGCGGGGCTGACTTTGCAACATTTATGCGCTGCCTTAAAGTCTAGCGACAGTGCGTGAAGCTGTGCATAGCAGTCATCTGACAAAAATGTGCGCTGCACGTCCGAGGCGTTGGGCAGTGACACCCGTTCTGGAAGATGCACGGCCGGATTAAGTCCGCACACGGTGCTGTCAAGGACCAGGCGTGGGTCGCGTCCTTCGGCCATGACAATGTTTAATTTGCCGATTGCAGTGCCCTGCGGCCAGTGGCGCTTTGCGTCGTCTTCGGTGCCTTCAAACTTTGCGACAAAGCCTTTGCGCACCTCCTCCTCCACTAGCTCTTGCAGCAGTGCGGGGTTGCTTTCCGCTAGGAACCAATTTCCCCTGCAGTGCTCGAGGGATGCAGGGCTAAAATCGTCTGCAAAGTCTAAGGAGCTTTGCGTTGTGGGCCACTGCCCGCTGCTTGGCAGGGCTCCAAAAGCACCTGTCGGTACTCCCTCATCAAGGATGATGGGTAGCTGTGCATCTTTATCGTGAATGGCTTGTGCAAGGTATTGCAGTGCTGTGAGCCGGAAGGGCTGTCCGTCCGAGATTCGGAGAAACTGATTTTTGTCTATGTTAGGTGCCATGGTCTGATGCGCAATGTCTGCCAAGGCGTTGCGATGATCTTCGCTAAGCGGGTGCGAGTCTTGCCCGGACTGTAGATGCTTAGCAATATGCGAAACGAGGCCGTGTTTGGTAAGGTATTGCTTAAAGGCAGAGGCTAGCTTTGCTAGGGGCTTGGGCTTACTGCTTACATTATTGGCAGAGTGATCTGCCGTGCTGAACATGCCTGCTCCATCGCAAACCGCGGGCCTGCGTGGCAGAAAGCAGCGCGGCAGATGCTTTTGCAGCGTTGATGGCTGGATAGGGGCATTGAGGTGCGATGTGCACTCCTGCGCTGCAAGAGAGAGCATGTGCTGGTATGGATCAGCTTGCTGTGTTGCGCCTGCCAGTGCTGTATGAGTGGAGCAAATGATATGCGAGGCGTCGCTCTGGGGCAGCTTCATTTGTATGCAGTGCACTGCTAACTCTTGGCACAGCTGTGTGTACAGATCTGCAATCTTGTCATCGCAGTGCCTGGGGTACTCGAAAAAGACCTGACTGCCTTGAAGGTGCGCTGCCCGAAGAAGCGCACATAGTCGGGTGTGCGATGCCAAGTCAAACGATTGTGCAGGAAAAAGGAGCAGTGTGGCTCCAACCGCTCCGGACCAGACTAGGCTATGCCAGGCAGAGTAAAGTTCATCTTCTATAGTGTTATGCTGTGCCATGGCCTGGTAGCAGAAGCGGTCACAGCTGAAAGGGTCCTCCGCTATGCTGTGCAGCAAAAATCTGTGCTTGGATGTTTTAGGCTCGGCATCTTCTGCTTCTGATGAGCTGGATGCGGAGCTGTGCGTAAGGCTGTCTTCTTGCATTTGTGCTGGACTATGCGTACAAGGAGTTGCTTCAGGTTGCTGTGTTTTTGGGCAATGCTGTCCTGACGGTGCCGCGGGCACGTGTGCCGGTGCTGTGGGTGTGCCAGGCGTGGCGGCTGAAGTCTGTGCAGCCGGGAGAGTAGGCAAGGGCAACTGGGCCTGCCCGGCCAGTTCCAGCTGCGGTTTTCAGGAGCTGGGCGGCTCCTGGGGGTTGCGGTGCTGACAGGCGGGATGACTTTTGCCGCAAGGCTCACCGTTGGGCATTTTGTATGCGCATGCATGAAGATATTTGCACTGCGCGTTCTTGCAGTGCCCTTTATTGTACCGAATACAGAAGGTCTTGTTGCCGTGCTGTTGCACGAGGTCCGCTGTTTTGACCTCCTGTGCTGTGCCCTCGCCGGGAGTGCGCCTCTTGCCTGGCTGTGTGCCTTGCTTGCCTTTGCCCCCTTTCTCCTTGCCTTTGCCTTTGCCGTTGCCTTTGTTCGGTAGGCGAGGCGGTGGCTTTTGCGGGGGGGGAGGCGGCCGGGCGCGTAGCTGGAGGAGGTTGCCAATATCAGAGCGGATGCTTGTCATTTCATGCAAGGCGTCATCCAATGTCCAACCGGCGCTGCGCAAAAGCGAGATTTCGCGCCACAGTTTGCGGTCAGCCGCGACAAGCTCTTGCGTGGTGACTGTGCGGAGCGATGCGTCGCTTGGCGATTGCGTCGCCAGATCAAGAATCTTTTTGTCATATGCCTTCAGGCGCTGCAGGTGCGCTCCTTTGCACAGTGCTATGGCGTTGCGGAATACTGTTTGAACTCTGCCAAGCCATGCGGCGCTCAGCCTGAGATGATCAACCGGCATTTCCGGTGTGTCATCAAACAGTGCAGTGCTGAGGAAGGCTGCTTCGGTGCGGATAGTGCGCGATGCTTTGCTCTCTATGAGCTCTTGATATTGCTTCTCCGAAAGTCGGAGTTGCCAGGGCACCCAGCTAATGGTGTTCCCTGGGGAAAACCAGCGATGGATTATGCTAAGCAAGCGCACGCTGGGCATAGCGTCGCTGTCAAGGTGTTCGCCAGGGTAGTTAGTGCGAAAATCCTTGACGAGCTGTGCAATGCTGGATGCGTCCAGTCTGGGCGGGGCGTGTTCAGCCCATACGTTGAGCGACGCTTGGGCGGTGCTGGCAGTGCTGTGAGAGGCAGGAGTGTCTGCCACTTCTGTCATGGACTGTGCACGGCGGAGTGCTCGGCGAAGGCGCGCCATTGCTGGGCAGTGCACTGGGTCTGAGACGCCCAATTCATCCCAGAGCTCATCGTATTTGTCAGAGCAGAACACATCAAGGTCTGCAGTGCTGTTATATGCAAATGCGAAATCTGGCACCGACTCAATGCCGGTTCTGTGCAGTGCGTTGCAGAGGGCTTCGGGCACCTGCATCTGTGAGAGGAGATCCGAAAGTGCGTCCGGGGACTCCATTCTGCAGGCTAGAAGCGAAAGAGAAGTCTAAGTTCGAGCAAGAAAACGGCTGCGGATGTAAGGATGGCGGTGACAATGCGTCTGGTGCAGGGCAGATGCAGGGCGGCGCACCCGAAGAGCGACCTGAGTAAGCAAAAGCTGAAGGATATGCGGCGAGTGAAACCAACAGCAAGAGAGCGGATCCTTTTTTATTCAAGCGCCATTGCGGAGTGCGACGCAAGCCGAGCGACGGCAGTGAGGCTGTGGCGGTGCGTTGGAAGTGAAGGCAGCTGTGCCTAGCTTGATCCCACATGCTGTGCGCAGCACGCCGGATTCGTCAGGTGGGCAGAGCGAGTGCCAACAGCCCCAAGGGCCTGTGCATGCAAAAAGCGGTGTTGGACCTTCCAAGTCGATTTGCAAGGGTTCTTTAGAGGATACTGACGATGCTTCGCTGGAGGATTCGGAGCTTTGGCGTTGCAACGCCGCGTTTTCCACCATCCAGGCTTCTTCATCTGAGAAGGGTGCGATGGGGTCCGGCGATTCTGGCGAGAATTGCTCAATGATGTCTGGCGAGCTCTGCGTAGCCTGTTGCGATGCCGGGTCCAGCTGTGTGGGTGCCGGATGATGTTGCGATGCGGCGTGCATTTCTTCGTGCCTGGATGCAAAAGCCTTCCAAGGACCTGCCAGGACTTCCTGGGCGGTGATGCTTTGCAGTGGCTCCCCCGCTGGGAGGTGAAAAGGGGGCTCTGGAATGGGTGCTTGGCCTCCTCTGGCAACACTGCGGTTTGGCCGCCAGCCTGTGCTGAATGCTTGTGCGAGGCGGTGCTGGAGGTCAAGGCTGTCGAAAGTGTCATTCCGGCTATAAAGCCTTGCGCTGTCCCTGTGGTGTCCTTGAGCCAGGCGTAGCTCTTTGTAGACGCGGAGCTGTGCGGCCGCTGCCAACAGGGTGCTTTTCATGCTGTGCAGGGTGAGTTGTCGAGCTTCGCTGGGCAAGAGACCATTGCCGCTGGCCTTCCATGGCAGTGTGGCCAGGTATCTAAGGCTGAGCAGGGCAGTGCAGTATGATGCAGGGGCAAGCTCTTCGACCAAGCTTTGGTCTAGTGCCGTGCTGAACCACAAAAAATCCGGCGGATCTCCCGATGAGGAGTCCACGATGCGGTGCAATGCTGAGAGCCAGTGCAGTGTCCAGCAGGTGGCCTTGCACCGGCCAGTGATACCCGCGAGGGTAACTGCGAATGGCTGGCCTTGCGTTGTAGTTTTCGTCGCCCAGCAGGTGCCGTGCAATGCAGAAGTGGAGAGCGATAGGCTGGAGAAGTCAATGCGTTGCAGGTCGCCAAAACGCAGACTAGCGTGGATGGCGAGCAGTGCAGCCCCCAGGACGGCGACAGTTGTGACGGGGGCGTTTGGGTCACAAACTCGCTGCTCCCAGGCAGCGATCAGTGCCCAGGGGATGGGCAGTGCTTCGCGACGGTCTTGAGCAGTGCCTTTGAGGGAATAGGCCCTTATAATCGGGCTGTCTAGTGCGTTGCTAAGGCATGACCACTGCGTTTGCCTTACGAACCAGCGAAGGGCTTTGATGGAAGAGGCGGCGCTGATGCGATGAATTTCCAGGTCTTGGCTGTGCGATGCTCTGGCCAGGGCGAGGAAATCGAGTAGGCAGTGCAGGCTGACGTCGAAGAAGCTGACTGCGGAGCTGCAAAGAAAGTCCATGAATAGCGATGCAATGCGGAGATATCGCTCCAGTGTGCCTGGTGTGTTGTTGCGGATTACCGCCATAATATGGTCCGATGCTTGTTTGGCTGCTTCCACCGATTGCAAAAGATGCGAGGCTTTGCCTAGCTTGTACACTAGCTGCAGCCAAAGCGTACCGCATATGTTCATGCGCGATGCTATAGCTGCTAGGGAGCTGCGCATGGTCCTGAATTTGACTATGCGCGGCTTGGGAGGTGCAAGGGGAATCTGAGATGCCGGCGGCGGTCGTGGCGTTGCCGGAGAGCTTTGAAGAGAGCTGTGCGGGATGATTTGCGTGGCCGTGGATCCTGCAAGGCTGCGCGGCAGCGATGGAGGGGGCGGTGGTGGCAGGCCGCCAAACTGCAGTGCCGGCTCGGGCCTATATCTTTTCGGCGGCGGTGCTATGTGCAGTGCTCTATCCGCCTGCGGGACAGGCGGGTAAAATGTGTTCCGCCGGGGCGTTGCCCGGGCTGTGGCAGGGCCCACTATCAAGTCAGCGACTGTTGGAAGGTCGCCGTGGCTGTGCTTGGCGTGGGGCGGATTTTTTGGGTGTGACTGCAACAGGCGCTGCCGTTGGAAGACCTGTGCAATAGAAGGCTGTATAGGTGCAGGGTCTTCGATGAAGTCGGAGCAAGGCAGTGCGGGTTCTGCAGCAAGCGCGGCCAGGTGTGCCTCAAAATCTTCGGCTATGCTCCTGGGAGGCGATGCTGGTTGAGACTCCACTTCGATTGGAGTGGAAGGTGCGGTGGTGGTGCGATCTTGGCTTTGCAGGGCCCAACGACGTCTCATGGTTTGAACCGTTTGAGCAGAAAAAGGCTGCGGGAAATGCTGTGCGTTGCTTGCGGGTTGTGTGTGACAAGCAGTGCTGTGCAGTGCAGAAATGTCAACCAAGCTCAAGCGACAGAGCTGACCTGTGCATTCAGGGCCGGGCCAACCTGAGAGGCCAGGCATTGCCTGGCCTGGAACGACGGGATGTGCTCGTACCGGTGGTCCTGACAGGTTCGCTGCATGGCGAGTGGCACACCGGTGAGTGCAACCATGGGGCCTTGCCAGGCAGTGCAGGGCTTCTGTCCTGACAGAAATAGGCATAGCTGCGTAGCGACGGCTTGCTATGTATGAAGTGCAGTGCCGTGGCGGTGCTTTTTGCAGGCTGCCAGGCGCGGCAGTCGGGGCATTTCGATGCTGCCGTGCATTTCAAAAAACCACTGCAAGTGCGATGCGATGCTATGCTAAAGTATAATGGTGCTCGCCATTATCCTTAATGCTAGGCTAGGCTAAGGTCGGATATGATGCATTGCGGGGCGGTGCAGGGATGGCAGGATCTCAATCAGAGTCCTGCTCATCCCTTTCTTTGCACTTGCTGCAGCGGTGCGGTGCATGGCCATCGCTTGGGGGGGGGTACCGCAACTTTTTGTTGCAGGCCGCCCCCCCAAACTTGCAATTCGTCTCGCACATTGCTGCGCAGAGCCAGTCGCCTTTGGCGCTCTTGTAGGCAGGGCGCTCATCCCCTAAGGGTGAGGTATACCACCTCACGTCGCAGTGGATGTGCGGGGACACTGCCACGCGGCGCGTGGCTGGGCGTTGCGTTGTGTGTGGCGGTGGCGGGGGAGGGTATCCCCAGCCAGCGGGGCAGGGCTGGGCAGGAGGCCATTGCTGCGGTGCGGGTTGCTGTGTCCAGGGCGGTGGTGCTGCTGTGAGAGGGGCGTATGCCATATGCTGTGCAAAAGGCGGTGCATGTTGGGGGTGGCCCCATTCTTGCTTCCCCCAGCCTTTGCCAAACTCAGGGGCCCCCCCCATTTGCCCGAAGTGCGGTGACGAGGGCATTGCAGTGCTGGGGACAGAAGACCCCCAGTCGTCTTCCACATCGCTCCACCTGGGGCGAGGCGGTGTGCGGTTTCGGCGCGGCGTGTGCTCCCGCTCTCTGCGAGGCGTAGTGCGGGGCGATGCCGGCGGTGTGGGCTGAGGTGGCGGTGCGGGTTGAGCTTGCTGTGCTGGGGGGGGTGGCTGTGCTTGTTGCTTTGCTGGGGGCCATGTCCCGGGAGGTGCCTTGGCTGGGATGGTGGCTGTGGGGGGCGATGCGGATGCTGCTGCTGCTGCTGCGCTTTGCGGTGCGGTGCTTTGCTCTGCTGGACCGAAAATGGTCAGGCGAGCTTCGCTGAGCTCGCTTTGCAGTGCGTCGATTCTGCTGTAGCCGAGCTGCCGAAAAGCGCCGATGCGTTGCTCGCGGGACGCCTGCAAAAGTGCTTGCAGTGCTGTGCTCGTTCCGGCCATGCCTTGCGATGCGATGCGAGGCGAGGCGAATGCGAAGGCAATGCAGTGCAGTGCAAAAGCGAGGATGCTTGATCAGAAGGCTATGCAACATCATGTGCAGTTAAGACAGTGCGAGGCAACACACAGGCAACGAAAGCAGTGCAACACGATGCAGATGCAGGGCTTGAGCAGTCCTCGCAGGTCGATGTAGTAGAAGTCCAGGACCTGGGCAGAGCGTGTTAGGGCAAGGCGGGGGTTTAGGGGTCGCAAAGAGAGAAGGCTTGGCGCAGGCGACTGAGAGGTTCGAGTCGATGTTGTAGTCGTGACCTTGGCGAGGCAGCGACTATATTCAAGTAGCAAGTGAGGCCTTGCTAAAGCGTTGCTGAGCTGGGCACTGCGTGGCCAGGCAAAGAAAAGGGCCTTCAGTGCAAAAGGCCGCGCAATGAAAACAGAGAAGAGGCTTCTCTGGGGCCCATGCTGGGCTGATGCTGTCATGCGACCTGCCAGGCGCGGCAAGTGCCGAAGAAAAGACCAGCTGGACTGGCCTGGGGGTGCAGCGCGGCTGACCTGACAAAGCGATGCGAGGCTATGCGAGCCCAGCACGAAACAGCAAGTTGAGGGCAAGCTTGCAAAGAAATATAAGAAAGCAAGGCGTTCTTTCCCATGCGTGGCTATGCAATGCGTTGCAAAAATCATCAATCAATGAACTCAACTACGCAGAGCGTGCTGCGTTGCGGGTTGAAAGAGAATGGTGGCAAAACCTGTGCAAAAACGTCGTGATCATGGTGTCGGAGCCAAACCATTGCAGTGCGTCCATCCAAAACCATGGTGCCTGTGCGTTGCATGACGCTCTGGATTGTGCGGTGCAATGTCGATGCCGTTGCTCGCAATGCTCGAGTTTCTGCATATGCGAAGTGCCTGAGTAAATAAAATACAATATGGCTATCCAGCAATGTCCATGTCTTGCGCCATGAGCTGTGCTCTGCAGTGCTATAGGGCTTGGTGTTGCGGTGCCTTGCGGGGCACTGCGGTGCATAGCATCCAATGCAAAAGCGCCGAAATGCATTGCATTCCACTGCAGTGCGGTGAAGGAAAAGCGCAAAAGCCGATACCTGAAAACGTCAAAACGCCGCTGTGCACTGCGTGCGGTGCGTTGCAACCTGCGTTGCAATTGCTGGCGCCATGCGACGAAGATGGATGCAATGGTAAGCCAGGCCCAGGCTGAGCGGGGCGTCGCAAGCATTGCGGTGCAGGGCTATGAGCTGTGTCTAGTGCAGAGCTGCGCTGGCAATGTGTCGATCATGATTCGATAAAAACCACAAGCTGTTGGCGGTGCAGTGCACTGCATTGCAAAGATGGCTTATGATTTTGCGTTCGTGCGATGCAAGGCTGCTCAGAATAAAACATGCAATGCGTTGGGAAAACAGAATCTCCTTGAGCTCAGCGATAGAGAGCGTTGAAGGGACAGATCTGCTTGGCTGTGCGATGTAGATGCTCATCAGGGCCTCCACCTGCTGGGCGTGGCTGTGAAGGCTTGGCATCGGTAAAGAGGCCCAAAGCTCCTCAAGGCTGAGCGATGTCAGTTTAGGTTCCAGAGTAGTGCAGCTCGGCGGTTTGCTGATAGATTACAAATGCTAAATGCGTTGCGATCATTCCAATCAAGGCTGCTGAAGACAAAGCTGGCTGTGCGAGGCGATATAAATAATTCCACAAGGTTGGGGAACACAGGTGGGGTGCTAACCTCACTGGCCGGCATTGCCATGCACTCTGCGAGCCATTCTTCGACTCTTGCTCTATGGCTGTGCGAGGGCTCTGGCGATCGTTCTATCGCCTTGGCGGTGCGTTGCTTCTTGTTCCCCACACGCTGTGACATGGCAGGGACAGGAAATGCAAGCGAAAGACTGTAATGCTGAAAGGCTGCGCGTATGCAGTGCGTGCTAGTCCATCTCTTCTAGCGGAGAATCAACAGTGTCTGTGCATTGCGGTGCGCCTTCAAGGATTGCAATGCGGCGTTCCAGGCTGCCGAGCTTTGCAATGACCGCCTGAATGCGGTCAGAGAGTGCGTCTATGCGCTCATGAATCGTTGCGCCCATGTCAATGCAATCTTCTGCAAGGCTTTGCAGTGCGCGGACCAATTGGTCCGGGGTGGCTGCCTCGGGCGGATCCATGGCGTCGATATGGCGGAAGACTGCCATGCAATGCGTAGCAAAAATGAAAGCGTGAATGTGTTGCAGCATGTTGAAAAATTTCTTACGCATGCGATGCGAGAAAAGCGAACACTAGTTGTGAGTGCTTGTGCCGAAACAGTGCGGAGCGTTTAAAGGTTTCGACACAGAACAGAAAACACAGTTGAATCAAAAACACAAACTCACAACTAGCGTCACGAAACTCATCAGTGAGGTGCTTGAAAACAACAGCGAAAACTCGGAGAGTTTTCTCAATCAATATGAACACCGCATTAAGTCGTGCTTTGAGGTTGCAAGGGAAGCATGTTGGATTGATTTCACGGCTCAGGGCTGAGTGCTGAATTCATAAACGAAGGAACATATCGCCTGTCGCTATCACAAAAGCTCGTGGCCGTTTGGTACGCGAAAAGCGTGCTGCTGGGCACCGGGCACCAATGAACGAAAACTCCACAGCACACAAACGCGGCGCTCGCAACAGAGGTCGCGCCCGTGGACATGATCATTCGCTCTAGGCAATATGACTAGCGATGTGTGTCTCGCGAGAAAATTGAAATAAAGATCAAATCACCACAAACATTTATTTTCCTCTGTCGCTCTGCTTGCCGAACGTGTAAGACAACTTGCCCGCTATACGTGTTGACCGTAAGGATCCTTAGAACCCCAGCCCAGGCTTGATTATCATAAGAATTCAAGCTTTCATATGCCATTTGTGTATTCTGTGCTCGTCGATGGTGTTCGTTCCGTACATGTAACCCGTGTAGTGTAAATCTTAAAGAACATGCGTGTCTGTGACAAAACCCGAAATTCCAAACACTCAAATCTCGTTGCAGCTCGGAGAGCAACCTCTGAAAGTGCTTCTTGCATGACAAGATGACTTACTTGCCACATAGGTCCAAATAGGTTCGACACAGCAACCACAATTCTGTGCAAAAAAGATTGAAGTTCCGAATACAGCTGCCGCAGTTGGCAAACACGGTGTGGAAACATGAGTTTGACATTACAGCAGCAATTTGTCAGGCACGGCTTCAAACAAAAGACTTTCAAGCGGCGAAATAGTTCGAACTTGCTGCCCTGTTGGGTGAAGGTGCGAAAAATACAGCCAACACGACAATTTACTCCAGACCCTTTCAATTTCTGAAGTTTTTGTGGTCAGCAGAAGCGAAGCGAACCAAACTAGCAAAACAAACTTGGCATGTCCAGCCCACACTGAGACCCAATTTCTTTCAAGATTTAATGGCTGTGCTCCAACAACTTTTTTCGTGGTTCTTTCCAAAGCAACCAGGCGCCCAGTCCACGCAGCGGACGACACCGAGGGGATTTGGACATCGTTATTGCGGCCGTCAGGGAACGGAA